TATTTTTCATTATTATTATTATTTTAGGTTTTTACTTTGCAATTTGTGTTCAACTTTTTATTGGACTTAGCCTAGGCTTAGTAGCTACAAGTACGCTTAATTTTTTTTTTTAGTTTTTCTTTCTTTTTGTTTTGTTTTATTTATATTATAGAATTTTTACTTCGCTCTCATGCATTGTGCTGCTGCCACTGCTTTGTTTTTGCTGCTGCTGTTGTTGTTGTTTGTTTGTTTGCTTGTTGTTATTAGCATGCTTTCGAACAATGTGTTATTCATTTTTATTATTTTTTTGTAGTTGTAATAAAAACCTATATGCGATTATTACAAAATGAAAAGTGTGGAGTCCCTCTCTGGTGTTCTTCTTTTTGTTTTTTTAATAAATAACTTCATAGACAGTAGCCTTTTTATCGCCCGAACCCGTCACAATATATTTGTCGTCAGTTGATATGTCGCAGCTAAGTACGGATGATGTTTCCTTCGACTGCAAGCGATATAAACAACAAAAATAAATAATTAGCAAATACAAATTAATGAATAATATACATATATATAGACAGATGTGCCAATTGGTGTTTTGTCAAGTGTGAATGACTAGGGTTTTAAAATAGAGAATTCTTTATAATAATAGGAGCCGGTAAGAGATACCTTATAAAATATATTTACCTTCTATTTTTATATTTCTTATTTTGTTCTTTTATTAATTATCTCTTTAAACATTTTAAAGCACTTTTAATCTGGGTGTATCTATTGGGTGATATTGGGTGTATCAGTTTAAACTATTTCTAGGTGACTACAATATAAAAAATTTTTTTATTTTGTTATTGTTTTGCATCTTCTATGAAATGTATGTAGGTTTTTAAAGATACAACCTATTAGGAATTGTAGCAAAAAATGTACGTTGGATGTTTCTCTCTATTGGAATCGTTGAATTTAAACCTAACATGGGATGACTTTTGGTTTCTATTATAAATATATGAATCAGCCTAACTCATATCAATTATCATATTAAAGAAAGCATAGCAGCTTTCACACAGACAAATCAACTTAACTATATAGTTGACCCTGATTTTGCATATTTGGTATGGGACATAGGGAGTATAGATTATTTAAGATCTAGGGTAGATCCCTCACCTGGAATATACTGGCACCGTATGGTGTTCGCCATGCGTTAAGCAGGTTGTCTTTGCCGGTGGAAACGAACCATTTGCCGCAGGTGGCAAATCGCAACGACAGAACGCAGCTCTCGTGCAAATGCAGCTGATACTTGTCTGGTTTCGATGCATGCAATACTTCCACATGTGAATTCTCCATGCCCACGGCCAGCCAGTCACCTTTTGTAAGAGAAGGAACCATAAAATAGTATGTGTTTTATAAGCATAAATAAAGTGCATACTAACCTGTGGGACAGTAGCCAAGTGAGAATATTTGAGAACTGAAATCGTGCTGCTGCAGCTGGCGACCTTCGCGTAGATCCCACGAGCGCACCGTATTGTCCAAGCCGCCGGTCCATAATCTTGAGCCATCCGGACTGATGTCAATGCATGAGGCACCGTCCGTGTGACCCTGGAACTGACGCACCAGTATCTCATTGTGCAGATCCCAGACAGCGATGTTGCCATCGCTGCAGCACGAGAAGCACACCTTCGAATCGGGACTGATGGCGAGTGCATAACAGGCAGGCGCCGCTGAGGTTAGCTCGGCCTTGATGCGTGGCGTTGGACTGGCCAAATCCCATATCGATAGATTCGATGCCTCGCCACCGACAATTAGTGTGCGTCCATCCGGCAGCAGTTTCACCGATCGTATATAATTATCGCGCTGCAGGCAATCCAGCTGGCTGACGGGATTCTTATTGCCCGGCTGAGAGATGTCCCACACCTTGACGCAGCCCTTGCCGCCAGTATAAACGTATTTTGTAGGATTTGAAATAGTCACCGCACAGACGACCTCGCCATGCGATAACGTATTTATTTGTCGCGCATGTCTTGGTATGCCAACGCCCACCAGCGCGTCCGGCGGAAATGGCACTGGCTGCAAGCTACCCTCGCCGTTCATATGGAAAGAGTATGCACTATTCCCAAATAAAATAAATATAAGTACTAATTTTTGAGCGGATATCATTTATGGTGCACTTACGGCTTTCCACCCGTTAGTGCCGAGGGATGTGGAATGCCGTTTGTTCGTACATGCGCATGCGGATCGTACGGCAACGGCGGTCGTCCATAGGCGGGATCCGATGGTGGACGCTGATAGGGATCCGCCGGTCGCTGATACGGTGACGCTGGATAGCCAGCCGGCGGTGGGCCACCTTGTTGCATCATTTGTTTAGGATTTGCGCCCTGAGATGGTGCTGCAGCGTTTGGTGTCGGTGTGCGTGCCTTCGCGCCCGGTGTGCCCGGCTTATCCATCTATTAGTAGTCAAAAAAATAAATTGTAAAAAATACAATTAGTTTAATATTTAGGTACATTTTCACCCTCTGACCCGCTAACCATGATTTTTGATCTAAAACATTATTTTACAATTCAAATTGTATAAACCATTGAAATGTCTGCTACATGGTCAGATTATAGATATAGAAATGTCTACCCGTAAGTGACAATCAATATTTCAAAGCCGAATTCTTAACAGTTTTGAATATTTGCCTTACATCTTTTGTCTTGAGGCTGGGTGTGGAACGCGACGAACTGGAGCCTGAACGCGAAGGCGGTCGCTCCTGTTTAATGCCACTGCCCCCCGGTTTGTCCAGACGCTCGCCATTTAAGCTCTCACGATCGCGCACCTCCATTGACACATGTTCGCCGTTTGGGCGTGGTGAGTGGGATTCCTGCAAGGGACATTGAAATGAGAGTTAAATTTCGAGTGTTTTGAGGTATGTAATTTTGTTAATTCATTTTTGAGGAGTTTGTTGCATGAATATCAGGGCCGACACTCAACTCACCATTTCATTTGCAACATCTACGACTAAATCTTGATCGCTTTTCTCGCCTTCATCGTCCTGCAAATAATTTTGAAAAAAACAAACAAACAATAAAACAAAATTCGTACAACGATAGCAATAACAACAACACAAATAGCAATTTAGTTGTTTATTGCACTACGCTACAAATATAATTATAATATATTGATTTTCATTTCGATTTTATGAAGCGCATGAAGTTACAGAGGATTAGAATAGACAACAACTACGTATGAGGTACGCTACTATATATTATAATATGATTTTTTTTTTATTTGGTGAGTTGAGAGGCAGCAACTGCTGATGACACAATGAGTCGAGCATACTAAATGATATATGCGTTTACTATAAAACGATACTCACTTGCAGTTTTTCATCTTTCCGACGTTTCGAGTCGTTCTCAATATCCAGTGGCGAGCGCGTACGATATTTCTCACGATCCGCTGGTGAAACCGAATTGCGCTGCAAAAGAACAATTATTTGATAAGAATTTGATATTATAGGCTTTTAGTTGACGTTGCTTACCAAGCGCTCTTCAGCGCCCGCTGGTCCCTCTAAGCCCATCGGCTTTATATCCGGCCTTTGATGGTCAGGCGGCGCTTTAAGCAAGCCCTGTGGCCCATGTGGCAAGCCCATCGTGGCACCCAATGCACCAAACGGATTTAGTGCGCCCATCGGTTGTGGCGGCCCGCCTGGCACCTGTTGTGCATGTATTTGTTGCTGCAATTGGAAAGCCGCAGGCAGTTAGTTAGTAGATAAATGCTGATTTAAGTGCATGAGCTTGAAATTTTCTGTTATTTGGCTTTGGGACGTAACAAAAGCTATTTTGATGCAGCTGTGCGCGTGTGTGCAGACAACACCAACAACATCGAAAAGTAGAAAAACAAGCGGCGGCTTAGAACTGACGCAATATTAACATCAAAAAAATAATAATAATAACAAAATGAAAGGCACCTTGTGGAGAGGCGAGCCAGAAATAATGCAACAAGCAAACAACCAACAAACGAACGAACGCAAACGGCAAAGAAACAAAATAATAAAAACTTACTAAAAGTTGATGTATTCCATGTTGCTGCTGATGCTGCTATAGACACACGCATATTGTACGCACATACACATCGTTTTCAAAATTATGTCAAAGCCATTTTGTATTGATCGTAGATTGTTTCAATATTATAAAAAAAAAACAAGTTGGTCAAAAAATTCGTTAAACTATAAAATTAATGTGCAGTATACTTTTGTTCAAGTGAATCACGGTTGTTGGTAAAAATTCCCAGCTAAAAAGGCTATTTTTTTTAAAAGTATGAATGTTCCTAGAATTTTTTTCAGTATATTATATTTACATATGAAGATTGTCGTTAAAAATTGTAGATTGTGCTTTGAATATACAAAAATCTTAATTGAAAGTTAAATAAATGAACGGGTCATCGAACAAATAACAGAAAGAAAATAAACATCTCAGCCCCAAATGGAGGTCAAATCAATACTGGGTTCACTCGCAAGTTGAAAATCGGTCAAAAATGGAAATACATTTTTTATGAAATAGTGTCCATGAAAATAAGATTCTAATTTTAAGTCTAACATTGGTCATAGTTTAATTTTAAAAATAGTATACTGACAAACACATGCAAACATACACACGCATTCACATTTTTACATATTTCCATGTATGTTAATGGTAAATAAAAGTAGATGTTTGGAAACTTTTATATTTTGCGTAATACAAATTTTAATTTGACATTTTTGATTGCTTCCAAATTACTTGCTGTCTTTTCGTTTCTAAGTCCAGTTATCATAAAAAGTTAGAAATAAGATTGGGACTGTAAATATTGGATATCAGTTAGTAGTTTCTCTGAATGAGTTCTGACGATAAGTTCTGATTTGCGAGCGACCACTGTACACACGACCAAAACAAATAAAACTGAAACCTAAAAAATTGGAAGTGTTTTAATGCACAGGTTCTTTATAAACAGCAAATGGCGTCTTTTTATTTGTTAAATTTTGTGGGTCATTTTTTGCATAAAAATGATCTCAATTTTAGTAAAGAATTCCAATTTTGAAAACAGGCTCATTTTTCTACAAATTTTTAAGTTCTATATGTCGAGTTCTATGTTGTGAATAAGGTAAGAAGTCTTACGAAAACGAAATGTATATACAATTTGTTCGCTATAACGTAGCTTAACTGTTTCGGGCACGCAACTTGGTGACCATGGAAGAACGTCCACTTACCCCAATGATCAGATTGAGTTCCTGCATTGTGACCTGCTTCGCACGCTCTACAGCTTGCAGCACTTGTTGCTGATGATCGGCCTGTAGGAATGGAAGTAGCTGGTTGATCAGTGTGTTTAGACGCTTGGCGATTTCCGTTTGCTTGTGCATTTCCACATTAAGGCCATAGGACATTTCATAGTACTGCGTGGAAATGTGTGGGAGAAAAGGATTAGAAAACATACTGAAATTGAAAGTTGATCATTAATAACTATTTTTACCATAACATAATGGCGCTGCATTTCGGTCTTTTCGTTTGCCAGCTTCTCGCACTCCAATTTGATGCTGAAATTCACAGGAAAAATAATCAAAAGGCCAAATTAGTTTAGTTGAAAGAAATCTCGGGCAACGCTTCCGTCGTCGCGCCGGCTATAAAATCCTATGACCAGCAACGCATATGGCTCGTTGCCTGGCAAACCGGTTTACACAGCCAAAGACATGCGAGACTGAAAAGCAGCCCAGCAGAGAATGTAAGCATGAAAAACTACAGAATTCAATTCTTTTTTTTTTTGTTGTTATATATTTAAAAGAATTCGAAATCGGAAATTCTTTATTCTATTTTAGTGTAGAATGTTCGTTAGACAACAGTTTCTTGAGACTTTTAGCCCGTGAATTGTTCAAAAACTAAAAACTACCTACCATGCAGATGCATGAAAAAAGAACGGACGTTTTCATGACATCACTTTATTTGCCCTGTATAAATATATTAATTTAGAAAAATATTATCCAAATGTTTCTAAACAGTGTAAATAGAGCGGCCATGCGAAATTATTACATAAATTTGAAAGTAATACTATGCATCGGAAAAATAATTATGGAATTTTCATTATCATATAAGCCTATCTTTGAGCTGTTCGGTTGGGTTTCCTATTGGGTAACGATGTGTCGTAGATACTTGCCTGTGATATTGTGCCTGCAGAAAATTAAACTCCTCCTTGATGCGCTCCAGTGTATCGGCAATGGTAAATTTGATTGGACCCTGAGGTGGTGGTCCCTGTACGTATTGAAGACGGACATGGGGGCGAAACACAATTAGCAAAACACTTGATAGGGTCCCAGTGCACTCTGTATACTTACCCCGGCGGCGGGGTGACGCACCGGTGCGGGATACATTGTTGTGTTGCTGTTCTTGTTGTAATTGCTGCTAAATTGTTGCTCAACCAGGGACGAAGGGAAAAACAACAAATAACAGTTGTAGTTTTTTGTACCGTAATTTTTTTTAATATATATTTTCTTCGTAGCCTGCGGTTGAGCGAATTGCTTATGCTTCCTCTTCCTGTTGGCAGCACGCCGCTGCCCGCTGCTGCTGGCACCCTGAGATTGAACTCTCCTCTGCCGAAATTAGCAGCACTAATACCGGAGCATGTATATAATTTTGCAAGCGTTTATTTGCTTTTGTTGTGATTTTAGGATTAGTTCAACTCCTGCGTTTCCATATTGTGTAGCGTTTTGCGGATATCCTGCAAATGGAATTTTACGTTTCTTAGTTATTGGTCGTTATTTTGCACCATTTTTTTTCGATACGTAGAATCTCACGCACATACACACACACTAACACAAGCGCGCTCACGTATTTTTGAGCATCTCAGCAATGGCAGCCATGCCAGCAACAACGAGTGAGCACATACACACACACACATTAAGAGGACTACGCACGTATGAGGGTATGAGTGTGAGTGTTTACCGCCGAAAAAATCAAACGCACAGTTGCATGTGCCTGGGCAAATTGTTACGCAAAAAATAAGCATGCGGCATAAGGTAAAAATTGATTGTTCACTTTTGAGGAAGCATGGGACGTTCTTACTAAACTATTTCCACATTATTGTGGCATGTAATTTTTGCAAAAGCAATGCACGCTGCCCGCTCGCTCTGTACAAACAAATGTACCCCGTGCAATACACATACAGATAGACTGCAATTACTCAGGGTTGCCACCTTCAACCGGAGCAAAAATATTGCCACTAGGCAGGAGCACAAGACACTACAAGACACCTTGTTGTATTCTAATGTAGCGAATCCTGCCTTTATGCACTTTGAGACATTGCAGCAATCGACCAAAATATTTTATATACAAACAAAGGAAAAACCCAACAGAAATTTACATTTCCAAGCAACACTACTTGCGACAGCGAGTTGACCACTCACACATACATGCAAACAGACAGACAGACTTATACACGCGCGCGCACCCTAAACGGACGAGTGGCAAAACTCATACACACAAACACACGCGCACACACGAGCGCAGCGCAAAAGAAAAATTGGCCCAACAAAAAATAAACAAAAGCAATTAAAAAACGGAGTAGTTGGCAGTACCAATTTACATTTGGGTGTTTAGCTTTCCGTACAATTGCACATTTTATTGCCACTTTGTGTGCGTACACATACACTGCACTGATATTTGCACGAGCCGACTTTTTCAGTGCAAAAAAACGTAATTTTTTACTCGGATTTTGCCTGTAAAAACTGGCCTCTTCAACCGACCGACCGACCGACTCGCTACGTCTGACAGCCAGCCTGCGCGTCGTGTATGTGTTGTGTGGCGTTCTCGTTCTCGTCTCTAATTTTTCGCATCTGCTTTAGCCGTCTATTTTGCAGTTAGATTTAAAGCCGCATTTAATTGCTATCCGACAATGTTTTATATCGCACGCACTGCACAATTACTTATGAAAGTTGATAAACTTCGCTGCTGATTTGTTTTTAAACCGCAAAAGTAATTTTAATGCGTGGAAAAAATAAAAAGCCGACGATATATCGCTAGATATATCTCATCACTTTATTATTTATATGTATCGAATGGCCGCCACAATTTATCGACTGGCCACTTTGATTTATCGAATTTGTTGGTGCGTCAATGCTATCAAAATGCAACATTGTAGAACACGAACAACGATTGCCCTATCAATCGCAATCGAAATTTAAAAATCAGTGTAAGGTAATTAGCATGTGATTAAATATATTTTAAATAAATAAATAACTGATCTATTAAAACAACCAAACAAATATATAAAAATGTATAGGCAAATTTTACACATATTTGTCATAAAATTAAAGCCATAAATAAATTTGGGTACATTTAAAATATTTTGAAAATTATCTTTAAATAAATTCTAACATAGAAAAAAAGAGAATAGCTTGTAAATAACTTCATCAAGGCGACAATTATCAAGGGAAAATATGAAGTGCAGGACCTTTTGAATCCGGTCATTCCGATGATTATCAGGGATTTGTTATTCGAGGTCAAATGCATAGACGCAATTTCCTTTACTATAATATAAAACATATATCTTCACATTAATATCATATATGCATCATCGTTCTATTTAAATAAAATTTCTCTTATTTCACTACATAAGGCTTAAAGTGAAAGTCACCCTGCGGTTGCCCAACCCCTATTAATCAAAAGTCATATAATATGTTTATGTTTCTTAATTGCATTTATTTAATTGTTTTGCTTTAGCTAATTGTTTTGTTCCCATCACAGTTGGTTATCACAGTTGCGTTGCCTTTTGTCTTCTTTTAAGTAGCTGCCTTTTGGCGGATGCCTTACCAGGGGCGCCACAGTTTCTCGCCCTCCACTGGCATCGGCGATGGTGCAGGACTCTCGCAATCACTGTGATAGCCTGATGAGGCGGGGCTGAGCGGCGCGGAGTTGCAGTTCATACTCAGTTCGGTTGTCGCCTCCGATTCGGACATTGTTTGCGCCTCATGAAACTGCTGTAGATTCTTGTAGACGCGGCCCAGATGCGTCATTACCGATTTGCCAAGGTCCACGCTCATGCCAGGTGTGGATGCCATAACACGTGACACCTCATTGACTGCATTCATGTAGCCGTTTCGGAAGCTCTCTAATGGCATCGCTGGTGACGCTGGTGTTGTTGTTTCTGATTTGCCCATCTTTTGCTGGCGCATGAATACCACAGCGGATTCAAGCATCTCGGCCTTATCCATGCGCAGAATGCCATCATCGCCGCGCAGCTCGGCGACAAGTGTCTTAAGCGTGTCCAGGCACTTGTTGATGCGTGCTCGGCGCTGACGCTCCAGCAGCGGTTTTTTCACCTTCTGGTAGATCTGTGTTTTGCTGGTGTATTCCATTTTTACGTAAATTTTATAAATTTCAAGTGCGCACAGGCGATGCAGAATTGCTCGTAGTTGCCTTGTTGCTGGCTGTATCGTGAATGATGCCCTTTGGCTGCCACTGCGTCGCTTTTATAGCCAGTCCCAAGTTCAGAATCCACCCTCGGCCACTGCCACGCATGAGCGCGCCCCGTCTCACTCGCACGCGCATGCCCGTGGCATGCAATGGCAGGGCTCTCCCTCTGACGCGCAGGCGTCATCAGGCGTTGAACAGTGGAACAGCTGCAATGTGCGGCTGGCATGGAGGACAATCGGCAATCCTTGTGGCTCGTGGCGTGGGAACCGACCTGAAAGTAAGTTTCTCACACAATTTTTTCTCGTTTGTTTTCCTTTTGGCCACATGCTTCGCTTTTTTAAAGGATCAGAGCACAAATTTTGCAGCTGTCGCTGTTTTGGGCATCGCCATGCAGTTGTTGTTGTTGTTGTTGCTGCCGTTCTTGCTGCTGCTGCTGCTGCTGTAGTTGCTCTTTAGGCCGGTGTTATTATCCTTAATGCATACTTCACTGCCTCATCCTGTGCGTGTGCGTGGGTCGTTCCCGTTCTCATTGTTATCCTGCCGTGCCATCTTTTGCTTATTGTTTCATCAATGTATGCAGATGATGATGGCATAATGCGGTCTCTGCCCCGATCCCTGTTCCTCATTCCCATTGCCCGCTGAGTGTTTATTGGACACAATTAGTGTGGCATATTGGCTTCGTTTGGCTTTGGCCTATGGCTTGGGCTACCAGGTCCGGCGGACGCTGAAAGTGTGGTCTGATCTGGCGACGCATGGTTTAGCTGGGGTGATCGCTGGGTGATCGGGGGCTTAATTGCAACCCCCTGACATCAGGTATGCAGTACGTATTTAACACTTATCATTAATAATTGATCAATTTCTCGTTGTTTTTGTTGCTGTTCTTTGTGGCAGCTAATTGATAAATTGATAATTAATTGGGTATTAAGTGAGCGTTAGATACCAAAACATTTTACTATAGGTTAACAATCATTAAGTGTCCGTGTTAGTTAAAAGGGTACATATTTCTTTGTAGCACGTGTGGTTGGAATCAAAATGTATATTAGATAGTATTTAGTTAGTTAGATTCTGATTTTCAGATTTCCTATTGGGAAACTAATTACTTAAGACGAGCTTTTTCAAAGGGTTATTTCGCTGAAAGATTTATAAATCTGATAAGAATATGTAATTTGTTTCAGAAGCTTAACAATAAATTTAAAAAATGTGGTCGTAAATAAGATAGAAATTTGTATAATATTAATATATAACGTTGAGATTATTTACCTAAAAAAATAATAATAATATATCGCTGAAGTTGTTTACAAAATTTGGCCAAAAATATTTGATAGAGACTAGGAGTTATTCTCTATTATATTCGATAGAAAATTCTATAATTAATCACATTTTATTTTTAGTTCGTTGTAGAACGGCAAATGAGGTGAGATGTTAAAGTGATTAAATCACTGAACGAGGATCTGGGTTGAAATCCTTGGCTTAGTATGCCATATTATAACCAGTGATATCCAAAATTTATATTAAATCGGAATAATACATTAATTATAGTTTCTCTAAGAAAGGACAGATCATAGTTCAATAATACATAATAATATCAGTGTTTATAACTCCAATTTCAAATAAATTGATAATATAAATAAAATAAAAAAATAAATATAATAAATTGACTGCAGCGAAAACTGTCTAGAATTTTTTTTTTTTAATTTGTGAAGATGTCTTTTGACTTTTATTAAAACTAGTAAACCTTTCATTTTAAGAGTACAGGGTTAACGAATCAAAACAATTGTATTTCTAGCTCAAAATGTATTAGGTAAATACTTAAATTGTTTTATATAAAATATCAAAGAAAATAAAAGAGTTAAATTTTAAAAAAAATAATAAAAAATAATACAAAATAATCCTTTTTAAATATAATTTTCGGCTTATAATCACCTTACATTTAATTCATTTGAAAATTTTACCTGTTGGAAAATTAGCTCTTCATGAGTAACAGTTATAGAACAATCATTCTGATTGGAAGTTGCGTAACTGAAATAAATAACTGGCTTCAGCAATTCAAAATAAAAGTTTGGTTTGCATATTTGTTGTTTATATTTGTGTTTTCATATATTTTTCTTAAACTAAAAACATTTATATTGGCTAACAGACTTCTTGCTAATTGTTATAATGGAGTCAATAAAACGTGCCCTATCACAGACCTAACTTACAAAACTGCGTAACACTTAATTGGAGACAAAATGAAGATCATTGTAAAGCATTGTAAAGCTACAGTTGAATTGCTTGCGTGTCCCGACGACTGCCCGGCGCCATCAATTACCACGGACGCCAGACGCTGTCGGTGTTGCTGATCTGCAGCAAAGATTGAGCGGCGATGGGCGTGGATGAGCCGGAGCTAAAATCACTGTCACTGGCATAGCCGCTGGAGACGGGACTGTAGGCGTCGCGGCTGCTGCTGCTGGAGTGGGCAGAGCCGCAGTTGATGCTCAGGGGTGCATGCAGTGCCATTGGCTGCTCCACGGGCTGTTCCAGCTGATTCAAACGCATGCCGAGATGTGTCATCAGTGTGGTGCCAAAGGCGACATCTATTTTGGGTAGTGCAGCCAACGCACGGGAAACTTCATTGGCGGCACGAATGTAGCCGGCGCGAAAACTATGCTCCGTTGCGGATGCACTGGCATTGGCGGACTTGGTTTGCTTCAGCTTGCGCAAGTATTGCACGGTCACCTCCAAGATGTCGGCCTTCTCGAATTTTGCTTCGCTAGTTTGTGCCACGCACTCGGCCATCAGATCCTTAAGATCATCCAGGCACTTGTTGATGCGTGCGCGACGCTTGCGCTCCAGTAGCGGCTTCATCACTTTGCGGTACTGATAGGTCTTTGATAACTCGTATTTGGTGGCCATGGTTGTTGTTTGTGATGTAAGAAGAGATGTACTTGTACTGGTTACTTGGATGCGTGTGTACTTCACGACGTTTGCGTTGAGAATGTTGCTGTCGTCTCCAGTTACCGCTGCTTTTATAGCTACACGTGCCGACTTCGACGTTGACGTCGACATCGACTGCGTCTCGTGCTCAGCGCACGCACCCAGAGAGCTGGCAGCAGAGAGCTGAGGCGCAGCAGCAACTACAGCAATAATAGCAACAACAACAACACCACCTGCCGAGCAAATTACTCAGTCATTGGGTCGCTCGGATCGAGTCGGCTATTCGGCTCTGGGCTCTCGGCTCTCGGCCTTCGTTGCGTCTGCGTCTGTGCCTTGCAACGATCCTCGCTCGCTGTTGGTGGTTGGTTTTTCTCTTGTTCGCTCGGCAAACAAGTTTCTGTCTTGGCAGGGGATGAAGCTGATGGTGCGTCTGTGTGTTGGTGGTGGTGGTGGTTGTTGCACATGTTCAGCTTGCTGTTGTTATTGCTGCTTTTAGCTCTTCTCTGTTTTCTTTTACATTGACGTTCGAATCGTGGGAAACACTTTGCCCTCAAGTTTCCCACAAGATTTTTCTCGCTCGTTGGTGTTATAAGTTATAATCGGCCGGCCGTGTAGGGTGAGAGAGTGAGAGCTAAAGAGAGAGAGAGAGAGAGACCGAGTCCCCGAGTTGAGCCCTTATGCACATTGCACAGTGGGCAAAGCACATGTGGAAATTTTGTATAAAGTTTAATTGAATGAATTCGCAGGATTTTCCAAAACATGTTTCTTGTTCTTGATGTGTGAAATTCTAGAGTCTAGGTAAATATCTGTTGTGGATTTTACGTGGTGTGCTTTAACTTGATACGGTTAGTTTCAGGATTCCTGATAGTGCCTGTGCGTGGGAATGAAGTTTGAGAAACATTTGGTATGGTAAGGTAGAATATGGAAAATCTGTTGTAGAATAACGTGGCATGTTTTGTACTTGACACGGTTAGTTTAAGGGATTTCGGTACTGACTGTGTGAATGAAGTCTTGGAAATATTGCGAATGGTGACGCGGGGTAAGGTGATGTTGCAAGGTCGTGGTGTATTTTAAAATTGACACCGTCTAGGAAATTTCTTAATAAATAGATGTGAGCAGATATTTACGTTTATTTGCAGGTTTCGCTGATGAGTGTGAGAAGTATAAGAAAAAGGAATTTTAGATCGAAGTGGAAGACAGGTAAGCAGAACCAGAGGAATGTGGTGGAAAAGATTTAAGAAAGTAAAGAAAACTCGACCTCAAGCAATATTTGTGAGCACATTCCATTTATTGATAAATTATTCTAATTTTTATATTTATTAAATTTTCAATTTTGCTGGACATTAATTTTTTACCAAAATATTTATAGACTTGTCCCACGGTAAATCTGACCGTGCCTAAGATCGAGTCATGGCGAGTAGTGTGGACAGTACTGCCGAAAAAACTACCACCTGCCTTTTATTTTTTTCTTGCCCGACGTGGCCCAGAGGTTCCTCTTTGCTGTTGTTGCCGTCGCCGTTGTGGTTGTTGTTCTTGTTGTCAATTATGAATGCTGAATTGTAGCTTCTGTTGTACACTTGGGCCACGCTAAGTGGCATGCCTGGGCACGTCGTGGGACCGGGGACCGACCAGGAATCGGGTAACGAGCATTTAGGATAGGGACGATGTGCGGGGCATGCAAGCTAAATGACTGTACAGCAAATTGACACACACTAAAGATTAAATGTATCGCATTCGTTAACTATATAAACAATATACGTGGCCAGTTTGGCCACGGGCAGGAAGTGCGAGCAGCCGATCAACGGCGAGAGGGAGACAATCACATTGAGCGCAGGGGGATGAGATGACAAGCCATGATGAGCATGGCGTGCTGAGAGTGTGCTGAACAGCAAGCCGTTACAATCTTTCGAGAGTGTGAGAACATTTTTTCAACTGCACATGGCGAACGGATCGTCGATCTCAACAGGGGCACATTTGGGCACACAACGGGGTTGGGGGTTGCTTCGCATATTGTCAATGCAATGCCCTTCCATCATTGTGGCTCTTGTTGTTGGTGTTCTTATTGCTGTCGTTGCTGTGGCTGTGTAATTGTATGTGTGTGCATGCTTGAACCGCGTAATAACGCGCGACAGACACACGTAAAATGACAGGCTAGAAGGTTGTAAAGAGGGGAGTGTGGGGTGTCAAAGGGTCGCTGAACTGAACTGCGTGTGTAACTGGTATGCAGTTATGCAGTTTATTGAATTGCAAAGTTTCTGGAGACAGGATGTTATTATCGACCCTATACGAATTCAAGCTTTGAGAATTCATCTGTTGTTGGAATTGTTGAAGAGTCCTGCGATGCATTTGAGAATGTCCTATAATTCATTAGGCACTAGGATCATAGTTAATTAAATTACCATCTGCTTCTTTAAGTTTGAATAATGATATTTCACTATAATAATATGGTATACTAAACATAATAAATAATCGTAATAAAATAATAATAATAATAATACTACTAATAATAATAATAATAATAATAATAATAATAATAATAATAATAATAATAATAATAATAATAATAATAATAATAATAATAATAATAATAATAATAGTAATAATAGTAATAATAATAATAATAATAATAATAATAATAATAATAATAATAATAATAATAATAATAATAAAAATAATAATCTTAATAGAAATATAAAAAAAAACAATAAAAATATAATATGATTTATAACAATTGATTGGTACTTGAAGACTGTAAAATATTAAAAACTTAATATAATTAACAACTTTATCTGTAATTTCAGTCACTAGGTTTTTATCGAAACAATTTTGCAATAAAACAACATTTGCTAAAACCTAACACATTTTTATCGACTTGAACTTTGGGCGACTTAATATCAGCATTAAAATCAATCTGAAAACCAATACAAGGCATAGTTTTTTTTTTACTTTTCAAGTGATTTTTATTAGCTTAAAAGTTAACAACATTTATATTATTGGCACTATGAACTAAACTCTGATAGATTTTGAGTATGTAAATGTATATCACAAGGTATTTAAATTTGGCATAAAGTTGGAATTAAATATTTAATTAACACCTTGCCCGGGACAACGTTGACATTGTTGCCGTTGATGGCTGCTTGGCCGATTGCATTGGCAACTTGTTTCCCGTTTGCTCATCTGTTGCATGCAACTAGTTTCGCATGACTGGCCGACTGGCTGACTGGATAGGATGGCTTCATTGAAGAAGTATTTTCATTCATACAATTGACCGCTTCTATCTACCGGTTTGTTGTTGTTTGTTTGTTGTTGCTGTTGCTACTGTGCATGCCAATAAAAGCTGCCGTCTGCGGTTTCCAGGCAAAAGAGCAATTGATGTGTGCCCATTGCCGTCTGCTGCAGCATGCGTTCGTTGGCCTGATTTTGCGCAATCTCCTCTAGACTCTCATAGTGCTGGCAGCGGCTGATGTTGTTGTTGTTGCTGTGCCCGCTGCTGCTGCTGACGTTGCACTTGCCGCGTCGCTGCAGAATTTTGGCAATTAGATTCTTCACTTTAGACATTATTTTCTTTCGGTTGTTGTTAGCGCTTCGCGTTGCAAATTTCAACTGTGCTGCTGGCGCGGCAAGTGTCGCGCTTATATAGCGCAGCTTCCCGCCCAAAAAACACCACAACCACCACCCAACCAAAGAAGAGCAGCAGCACCCAGCGACAAGTGCCACATGGGCAACACATGTGGACAGCACGCGGCTGACTGATGTTGCAAGTTTCAGAGCAAAAGCAACAGCAACAGCAGCCGCAGCAGCAACTGTGGCAAACAGCAGCCGCCCAACGCTTGCCTGCCACGCTTTCAGCGCAGGCTCATCAGGCGGAGTGGGGAGCAAGCTCAACACGTGCAGGATAATCGTGTCAGTCGTCCGCACCCCTCATTGCCGATGCTTCCTTTCCCTTGTTTTGTTTTTTACTTATTCAATATAACGAACGCACAAAATAAATATTGAGAGCGTCGAGCAGTTGTGGTTCCCATGGATAAGGTTCGATGGCCCTCAGTTGGTTAGGGGAAAAATATCCCACGGTTCGAGTGGCAGCTGCTTGCAATTTAGGCCACAGCCCGGTTCGTGTTGCTGCCGTTCTTGTTGTTGTTGTTGTTGTTGCCTCGGTGGTGGATGGATGTTGACTGCCTGACACATATTGCACTTGCTGCCTGGCGAAAGTCTCGCTCGACCTCTAAAGCCTGCTCGGACAAGTGTGTGCATTGCCTGTTCATTTCTCAATTATCAAATGCACACAAAACCCGACCCGATGCCGCCTCCTGCCCGTTTTTTGCACCTGATTGATGTCGGTTTGGCCACTTGTGGAAAGCTTGCGCCAGCCACAGTCGCGTGGCGGACGCACTTGTCTCGTGCTGCGCAGCAGCAGCCGCCTGCGGGGCGTTGGGCGGTCACGTGGCCGTCGTGTATTTGATTTGCTTGCAACTTCGGCTGTCGCACAAGGTGCAGCAATTGAGTTTTGTGGCGTTTGTTTGATCGCCACTTGATTGCGTTTTTGGGCGTTTTGTGGATTATAATTTGAGTGCTTTTTCAGTCACTTTTAATTAAAGCTGTGGGAGGGTTAGGCACGTGCCACACTTTGGGGAGTAGTTATTTAATTGAATGTGGCCTTTATTGGTGGCCAGTATATAAAAGTCTTGCACTGCGGTGTTTTAAGTGGTGCATTAGATTTTAAAAATTACCATACACGCATTTGTTTTGGTATGCTTAACTAATTAGAATCTTAGTAGCTGTTGGAAAATGCGCGTGGGGTTTCCCACCATTGCTGAGCAATACAATTGTCCACTTATCGTGCAGCTAATTTACGGAGGTGTATTTTAAAGGTAAATATCTTTGAAGTTACCTGGGAACTCTTTCCCTAATGTTAAAATAAATATGCGCATTACGACTATTGGCTTACCCTTATGCATTGTTAAAGGTATAAAGCAAGATTATGAGTGAAATTGAAACTGTTTAAGGGGTTGTTCTTGTTTTATCAATTCAAATAAAATGCAAAATATTGCAATCAATAAAAGTCAGCAACATATTATTATCAAGCTTTGGTGCTATTACTTATTTTTGCTTTAATGGAGGGAAGGTGTATTTTACTATTCCGCATTACATTATTTTATTGTAACAAACTTTGTTTTATTAAATATAACAAAATAAGAATTTTATAAATGCGTGGGTGCTGATGGGCAAAGATCTTTTGTGAAATTGCAAATTAGTTTAACCAAATTTTTCAAAGACACACAACTCAAGGGCATTCATATCTGTGATGACACATTTGAGAGTTGTAGGGTGAAAGTTTTTTGTTAACCAAAAACATTTCTGTGTGAGTACCCCTATCTTGGCAGGCTTGAATCTCAAAATATTGCTAATTAACAAAAGATTTCAATTATTGAGGTTCTTTCTTCCCTAATAATTCAGCGTGCACAAGCCCTGCTCTAATAAAGGTTTGTATTTCCTTAAAACTCTCATAATATATTTGTTCTAGGTCTTTTCACACTTTACATGATTGAATTATATAGGAAAATATTTGTTAAATATATATTATCAAGGAGATGTCTTTAATACCATTTTAATCCATTTGGGTTATTTATTTAAAGTGCTTATTTGGGAAGGTGTATTTTACTATTCCGCATTACATTATTTTATTGTAACAAACTTTGTTTTATTAAATATTCCAATTTTCCCCAATAAAACATATATTTCAGAATCCCTTTCGATTTAATTTAGACTTTTATTTAAGGCCCTGGTCACCTGCACAATTTGTTTTTATAAATGCCACACTCTTAAGCGTATCTGAAAGGTTGCAAATCTTCAATCTTTTGCACCTGCTGTTAATTTTTTCTTGAGGCCTTTTTTTTTTGTTCACGTTCTGCTCGCTTATGAGCCAATGCTCATCAAATCAAGTCCACAATTGACGCTCAATTGATGTTGGCCGACAGTAGCACTTGTATACATAAAAAAAACTCAATTCCAATCACGTCAACGGTAGCGCCAACTTTTCACCTTCGGCTTTGGCCAATCAACGTTGATGTGGCTGATGCTTAAGCTGAAGCTGAAGCTGTGGCTCATAAACTCTTCTGCGGTTCAATTAGCGCATGTCGTAAAGTACAAATAACTATTGCGCACAATTCCGCAGAAACCTCGAGGCAGACTTTGGGGTATAATTATTAAGCTGAAGCCAAGTAGCCGACATCGCGACGACGATTTAAATTAAACAATCGACAATGACGACGACGGCGATGCCAGCAACAACAGCAACAACAACAACAGCGGCAGCAACATGATGACGACAAGAGTGAAAAACTAAAGTAAAGCAGCCAGTAATCAGTCAGTCAGACAATCAGACAGTCAGTCCGTCAGTCCGTCAGTCAAGTCGTCAGGGCAGCCACACGACGCTGATAATGCGCGTCGCGCCGACGCAATAAATGTGTGCCGTCGACTGTCGAGGCCCTCATGTTGTTGCTGCTGCTGCTGCTGTTTATGTTGCTGCTGTGTTTGTAATCGCAACCATATAAGCGACTTAAATGGCAGGTGTGCACATCGCGTGGGAAACACACGACGTTACTCGAGCGGTTCTCACGATATGAAAATCGAGCAATCGACGCACATACGAGCCACTGTCGACGGACGACTGACGAGTGCCGAGCTGCCGATCCGCCGAGCTGCGGGTGCCACTTACCAACCCTTCTTATAGGCCTGAATGCTAACTGGAGCTCTGCAGATTGGATGTTGTACTAGTAGAGTCAGCCTGCAAGTAATTTAAAAATAAAGAACTTTGATGGAATTTCTTTTTCTGTGAACTGTAATTGGACTATGTGTGCGAAGGAATTAGGAACTGAACTGAAAATATGAAACATTTTCAATTTTAATTAAATCAGTTCAAAAAATACTTAACTAGTATTTCTGCTAATTTAGAAAACATAAAAAATCTTATAAGTATCTCCTATAAGCGGGCTAGGCTACTTTTTAACCTTACTATTTAAGGAGGTATTTAAGTCCGTGATTTGGCACGCTCATAAGCTTATAAGAAATATTTATATTAATCTTAAAAGCTATCAAACTAAAGGCTAAGTTGGACTTCGAACATTGTTGTTGTTTAATTTCCCAAATAGCTGAGTTACTTAGTCAGCTCATGTATCTAGAACTATAGGAGAAAAACTTGAACGTCTTCATAACTTAACTTTGCGTTAAGCTTGTGACAAAAAAAAGTCATTTAATTAATATCAAAAAGACGGATAAGGATTTTGAAGAGAACTTAAGAAGTTATATATAATATTTACATATGTAATACTTTATAAATTATCTACTAAATAAGGTAATTAATTAATGTAGAACGTGTTTAGCGCCTTCTTGACAAATGCCAATCGGGGAACGTTATGAAATTATTTAAATACAAGTCCTATTTATAAGATACAACCAACTTTTTTAGGGAACGAAGCCATAAAAACCACATCTATCCAAAAACATTTGTAACTTTTCATCAAATTTTACTTTTGGCTTACAAGACAAATCACAACGGTCCGGTCAATTGTCTTGGCCACTCTCTATTCTCTGGGATCTTGGCCAGAATTTTACGGTTTAATTGCAGTTACAATGCGTCAGACACGCAACTAGACAATCGTCTTATAGTTATTGTTGCTGTGCATCTCAGTTTTAGGGTCTATCAACGATTTCCTTTCCCACGCAATGTAAAGAGCGAGGGAGAGAGAGATTTCTAGATCTCTTCACGTCTGGCTACCTGCAGCAGGTCCTGGCTGCAGGACCCGAAGCCCGAACTGCAGTGCAGCCTATAAAAGGCGACGCTGCGTTCGAGAAGAGCATCATTCACACAGCATCCTGCAAGCCGTGCACAACTAAAGCACTCAATAAGATCTAAAAAATGGGACCACAAACTGAAACCGCGTACGCCTCGAAAACCCAGCATTATCTGAAGGTGAAGAAGCCGCTGCTGGAGCGTCAGCGTCGGGCACGCATGAACAAGTGCCTGGACACGCTGAAGACACTTGTTGCCGAGTTCCAGGGCGACGATGCCATACTACGTCTGGACAAGGCTGAAATGCTCGAGGCGGCACTTGTCTTCATGCGCAAGCAGCTGATCAAGCAACAGGCGCCGGTCTCACCTGTGCCCATGGACAGCTTCAAGAACGGTTACATGAATGCCGTCAGCGAAATCTCACGTGTGATGGCCTGCACGCCGGCTATGAGCGTTGATGTTGGCAAGACGGTGATGACACATCTGGGCATTGAGTTCCAGCGCATGCTGCAGTCAGACCAGCAACCAGAACAACTCCAACAGCAGCAAACCGAATTGGAATCCATGCCAATCAGTCGTTCCGCCAGCCCCGCATCTTCCGGCTATCACAGCGATGCCGAGGAGTCTGAGGCAGCAGCCAGCCCACAGTCCGCCAGCCAATCAATGTGGCGCCCCTGGTAATCCACAGAGATAACAACAATCTACAACTGCAACCATAACAACGAATCATGTCTTCCAATTGACTCGATGTAATCTGTGATAACAAGAG